GTAAAACAAATTCTCCGTAGTGTATCAGATCGGATTATATGCCCCTCTCTTTGCGATATCCGATCCACAGATTTTGACCAATATCGGACTAATATCGATACTTAATATCGGATCGGCTCACCCCTAGTTACTATGAATGAAGGATTCTAGAGAGGTACTGGCATTATTTAATTTAATTTAATTTTGTTTTAATTTATTTTATTTTAGTTTAGTTTAATTTATTTTATTTTAGTTTAATTTAATTTAGCTGGAAAAAACTTAGAAAAGATCAACTGGACTAGATTTCTAGGTTGAAGACGTTTCACCTCATCCAAGAGGCTTCATCATTTCTGACTGACTGGAGTTGAGCTGGAGATATTTATCCCAATCGGTGGTGTTTCAGTCCTTTGAAGGCCAACAATGTCCCTGACTGAGTCATTATAGCCCAGTATTGGTGAGAGTCGTTACGTGTCTTTGAACTCTACCCTGTCCACCGACGCCTATTGTCCTGGTGGGCATGTTTGGGCAGAGATCTCAAAACCGGGTTGTAGATGGATGACAAGTTGTGTCTTAGTCCACCACCCCTATTTAGTGAGGGGTGTTCTATTTTTACAAAAATAGCTTCCTTAACTCCTCTCTCAAACCAGCAATGTTCTCCGTCTTCGACCTAGAAATCTAGTCCAGTTGATTTTTTTCTAAGTTTTTTTTTTCCAGCTTACTATGACCTGGATGACTGAGAATCTGCACAGACATGTTAATTTAATTTAATTTAATTTAATTTAATTTAATAGCACGTCTTTGTCTGGACTTGTAGTTTGGTGTGGACGGCAGAGGGCAGAAAATCACCAATGACGGGTTGACGTTGCCAGAAATAAAACAGACGAAGAAGGCTGCTCACCTCTTGGTTTCAGGAAGTGTTGAGTTCGGGCTGTATGTCTGTCTGTACTTAGGATAAATAAATGAATCAGCGCGTCTCTCTGGTAAGTCTCCGGAATCACAGTTCTAATGATCATAGCCTGCAGGTACATGTAATTATCCATCCCTGGTTCTTTAGCCTTGTCTGGGCTATTTGGATGCTCAGTCTTCTGTTAAGGGGAGGCGTCTTTCCTCAGTTCTCATGTTATACCCACCCTGTCTACCAGCGTGTTTGCTAGATACAACACTTTTAACACCAGTCACCCGCCGCTAACTTAGCCTGTCATCTCAGCAGCTGCATGCCATTCTGTTGAAGATGGCGTGTTAGCGGCGGTGGACCCTGGGCTAAACTTAATGACCAGAGGCTACTCATCTGAGCTCATGTTAGCGTAGTAACTAGGTGACTCTGAAAACCTCAAGCTTTTTACTTGGCCCATAGTTTGCGCCACTGTGATACAGTTCCGTTTTTTTTGTCCTGCGATTGTGAAACGGTCAGATTTTTGAACGGACATTGGTCTCGAGGCTTGTTGACTGGCTACGGGCAGTGTTTTGCTTGTCTGGCATCATTTCTCTCCACGTAGGCACCTCTGGATATATCCTGTTGACTTTTTGGGCAGGTCGCTGTCTAAAGTGTGATGTAGCATGAATTAGTTACAGCCTTGTTCTGCTGTGAGACCGCAGTAACTGAACGATCCGTGCATGAAGTGCTTGTCATTATCCATGTGACATTCATGGACACTCGGGAATTTCTTGCAGTAACTCCTTCAAGTGTTATTACATGTTCTCAGTTCACACTTACAAACTTAAACAGTCAAATAAAAATAGAAAAAAGGGGGCGGGACCAGTCACTGGGACTTTTACAGTAAAGCACCTGAGTGTTGTAAAGATAAAGCTGAAGCTCTCTAAGTCTGAGATAAGAAGTGATACCCGAAGTTAACTTCAGGTGAAACTTGAACTTCGCTTATGGGAAGTGTCCCACATCAAAATCAACTATAAAAAACACTGCTCAAGGTATGAGTCAGGTGCACTGAGCAAAAGGATTGAACACGCTGAAAGGCCTCCAAATCAGTTTTATTCTTGGCTTAAAAAACATGGCACTAATCGGTGCTGCTTCATGCCACTTTGTCAAGTAAGCAATCTACACAATTCAGTACAAACAGAAAAACGCATACCAATCATGTGTATACAAACTAACCTCAGTCAATTGCCACAGGTCATATTTTGTACACCATTTTACTAAACAAAATATCTAATTAATATTGCTTCCAGTTTTAACAATCCTTTATCCATAACACCTCCTCAACTTCTTGGTTATACAATATCAATATAACTTCAATTCTGATGCTGCAACACATTCCAAACAAAGTGGGGGCAGGAAAGCATTTACCACGGTGTGATGCTGCCGTTCCTTTTCACAACACTTAGAAGGCGTTTAGGGACTGAGGACACCACGTGATTAAATGTGTCAGGTGTCATTGTGTCCCATTCTTCCTGCAAACAAGTCTTAAGGGACACAACAGTCCTGGGTCTTCATTGATGCAGTTTGTGTTTCATTCTCTGCTGGGGACAGGTGGAGACTGCAGGCAGGCCAGTCCAGCACTCACAGCCTCTTCCTCCACAGCCAGGCCTTGGTAATGTGACAGGATGAAGTTTGCATTGTCTTGTTGAAATATACATGGGCGTCCCTGAAAAAGATGTCGTCTTGAAGGCAGCATATGTTGCTCCAAAGTCTCGGAGTATTTTTCAGCAGTAATAGAGCCATCAGAAGTGGAAGTGACCTTTGCCCTGGACACTGTTACAACCCCAGACCATGACAGACCCTGGCTTTTGGACATGTTGCTGGTAACAGTCTGGATGGTCCTTTTCCTTTTTGGTCTAAAGCACATCGTGTCCATTCCTTCCAAAAAAGACATAAATACTGATTCGTCTGACCACAGTGCACGTTTCCACTGTGTGATGGTTCATCCCAGATGCCTCTGACCCCAGAGCAGTTGACTTCTGGACACTGTTGACATGAGACTTCATTTTGCCACAGTAGAGTTGTAAGCAGCATTTATGGATGTAACTACATATTGTAGTGGCTGACACAGGTGAGCCAAAGTCATCCTGAGCTCATGTGGTTATATCACTTATAGAAGAGAGACGATTCTTGATGCAGTGGCGTCTGAGGGATCAGAGAGCTCGGTCATCCAGCTTAGGCTTGGTCCTCGTCCTTTACACACTGTAATCCCTCCAGATTCCTTGAATCGTTTAATGATGTTCTGCATCATAGAGGGTGACAGATCCAAATCCTAATAGCAACATTGTTTTTAAACATTTCAATCATTTTCTCACACATATGTTGGCAAACTGGTGGTCCTTGGCCCATCTTTGCTCCTAAAGGGCTCAGCCTTTCCTGGATGCCACTGTTGTACCAAATCATGGTGCAGTCACCTGTTGACATCACCTGGTTCAAGCAGAATCATCATTTCATTGTTTTACCTCATTACTGGCCCTGAAATGCAACTGTCCCAACTTTTTGGGGATGTGTTGCAGCATCGGGATTGAAGTGAGTATTTATTTAGAATCTTCTTCTTCTTTCGGCTGTTCCCGTTAGGGGTCGCCACAGTGAATCATCTGTTTCCACCTAACTCTATCCTCAGCATCCTCTACTCTCACCCCAGTTAACTTCATGTCCTCTTTTAGCACATCCATATATCTCCTCTTTGGCCTTCCTCTTGACCTCTTGCCTGGCAGCTCCATCTCCAACATCCTTCTACCAATATAAC